TAGCTGTTGGGTATTTCTCTGCCTTTTCATCTTGTTTAGATTGCTGTGTCTGGAGTGGGCTTTCTGTATTCTTGTGGTCTGAGGTTCCTTTTTATTGTGGAGGTTTCACCCAGTGGGTGGGGTTGGACGATTGGTTTGTCAAGGTTTCCTGGTTAGGGAAGCTTGTGTCAGCGTTCTGGTGCGTGGAATTGGATTTCTTCTCTCTGGAATGCAATGGAGTGTCCAGTAATGAGTTTTGCGATGGGTCTATGTGTTAGGTGTGACTTTGGACAGCCTGTATGTTGACACTCAGGTCTATGTTCCTGCGTTGCTAAAGAATTTGTGTGGTATGTCTTGTACTGGAGCTTATTGGCTCTTGGGTGGTGGTTGGTTTTGATGTAGGTATGGAAGCTTTTGGATGGTCTCTTATTCCTTAATGTTCCGTATAGTCAGGAGTTTTCTGGTTTTCTCAGGATTTGGGCTTAAGTCTCCTGCCTCTGGATTTCAGTTTTATTCTTCCAATAGTCTCAAGACTTCTCCAACTATACAGCACTGATAATAAAACTTCTAGGTTAATGGTGAAAAGATTCTCCACCGTGAGAGACAACCAGAGAAGTTCACAGAGTTACATGAAGAATAGGAGAGGGAGGAAGGAGATAGAGGTGAGCAGGAGGAGAAAAAGGGGACTCAAGAGGAGAGAGAGAGATCTACGCAGTTATCTGTTCCCAAAGTGTTCTCCGTAGCCCAGACACCCACAAAGATTCACAGAGTTGGATTGGGAAGAGAAGGGGAAAGGAGGAAATAGAGGTGTTCCGAGGTAGAAAACAGAGAGTCAAAAGTGGGAGAGTAATCACTACACTCCTGAATAGAAATGGGAACTGAATATTGGATTCTTAAATGACCAAAATTTATATCACATACTACTGAAAAACAAAGATTAAAAATCTAGTGTAGAGGTTAGACTCTTTGAAATACAATATTTAAAAACAAAAACACACAAAAAAATTTAGAAATGTATATGAAGTTCGATTTAAAAATAGGGTTTCTCTCTGTCTCTTTTTTTTTTTGGCAAGGTTATAGTGAAATGAAAATGAAAATTAAGGAATAATAGAGGAGTATTAGAGGACTTTAAAAGGAAATAGGAGAGAAAAACAAGAAAAAGAAAAAAAAGAAAAAAAAATTTTTCCCTAATTAAAAAAATCGTAAAAATATATGAAAATGAAAGTTGAGGAGTAATGGGGGAGTAATAGGGAATTTTAAAAGAAAATAAGATAAAAAATTAAAAAAAAAAAGGAAAGAAAAAAAAATTTTTTTTAATTAAAAAAAAAATATATATATATATATATATCTAGGAATTTCTCTGGAGTTGTTGCGGTCAGCGTAGGTTCAGTTCAATTTCAGATAGCTCCTCTTTCCAGCTTACACTTCTCGATATCTGTAGGCCCCTTCCGGTGTAGTCGGTGTTACCTTCAGGGATTTTAATCTGTTGCACTGGTCCTTTCTAAAGCGGTTCCCTTTGTTTATTTGGCTTCTGTTTGCCGTCTCTTTGGTGTCTAATTTCCACCCTGACACAGGCGGGCAGAGGTGATCTCTTATTTAGGTTCGCTAGTTCAGTTCAGTCCTGCTATGGGGAGGGTGGGGCGCTGCAGACAGATACCGCTCTGTGTGGATAGCACTCACCGTGTTCCGGCCACACTGGGTTTGCCCCACTCACGGGTGTCAGTGCTTTCCCCGTCTACACTGCTCAGGCTCCCGGCTGCTCTATATGGAGGGGGCCCTGCGTTGAGTGCGGTTCCAGTTTTCGGGTACTCCACAAAAGCGCAGATTCGGTTGCGCCTGCGTTTTGTGCCTTCCCCGGCCTGAGCGGTTCAGGCAGCCAGAGGCTTGGGCGTACTCTCCCCGGGTGCAGCACGCCTTTTCCCTCCGCAGCGAGCGGCCCAGGCAGCCAGAGGCTTGGGCGCAATCTCCCCGGGTACGGTGCGCTTTTTCCCTCCGCGGCCCCAGCGCGCGCCGCCAGTCGGGTCTCAGGAAGTCTTTAGATAGGAACCGGGGGCCTGTTTGCAGTGTGGGAGGGGGTGGCTTCTCAGGGGCTGAGTTTGCCCTTTTCCCCTCCCCCCTGCCTCCAACCTCCAGCGGGGATGGGCCGGCTCTTCTCTGGAGTTTCTCAGTCCCTTTGTTTTGCGAACCGCCGGCAGTGTGTTCGGGCCGGTTAATTTTGACCCTTGCTATCCCACAGTTTAAAAAAGCTCCCTCCGATTGCTCTCAGGGTCTTCGGGCTGGTCCTTACCCTAAGCAATACCGCCCGCTCCTCTCCGTTCCGCCCCCGCTTGTTGCTGGCCGGTACGGGCGTCTGGGGTACTTTTCTGCTGGGAGTTGCTTTTAGGCACGTAATCTGTGGGCCTTGTTTAATTTTTCCTCCCAGTTAGATTGCCGAAAACTTCCCCCAGTCCCGCCAGTGCGAGGGTTTCCTGGTGATTGGAAACTTCCTCTATTAAGACTCCCTTCCTGGGACGGGTCTCCGTCCGTAGCTCTTTTGACTCCCTTTTTATCTTTTATATTTTGTCCTACCTCCCTTCGAAGACAATGGGCTGCTTTTCTGGGCACCTGATGTCCTCTGCTAGCGATTAGAAGTTGTTTTGTGAAATTTGCTCAGCGTTCAAATGTTCTTTCGATGAGTTTGTAGGAGAGAAAGTGGTCTCTCCGTCCTATTCCTCCGCCATCTTGGCTCCAACTCAGTGTTGTACTTTTAAGATTAGTATTTCTTTTTCCATCCCATACCGGGGTTCTCAGTGAGCTAAAGACTTGCTCTGTAGATACACACTTGACCAAGCATTTCTGATGAACTTTATCATTTGATCTGTTAATATGGTACATGATTCTTTGTCTAACTGCATCTCTAACTGCTGACTAGTGGAACAGTCCTCAGAAATTTCTGACTGTCTCTGGGTTATAATCTTCAGTTTGGCTTGAATAAATTTCTCTCTTTTTTCTTGGCTTGATGGTTAATTGAATTTTTGTCCCCATAGGTATACGTTTAATTATTTGACAGAGTCATCAAACAGTTCTGAAACTAACATCTTCCTTCCATGCTAATCTCATTGCCTTTTTAGAAGCAAACACTGTTATCAGTTTGGTATATATCTTTTCATGGCTTCCCTGGTGGCCCAGTGGTAAAGAACCTGCCTGCCAATGCAGGAGACTCATGTTTAATCTCTGGGTTGGGAAGATTCCCTGGAGAAGGAAATGGCAACCCACTCCAGTATTCTTGCCTGGGAAATCCCGTGGACAGAGGAGCCTGGCGGGCTATAGTCCATGGACTATAGACAATTTATATAAATTGTCCAGAAAGATGGGAGTGTTAAGGAACTAAGAATGTGGTTTTAGCATACAAGAGTGGATAAAGTTGTTAACAAAGTATCAAGTTTAAAAGATGGAAATTGAAAAAAAAAAAGAAAAAAAAATAAAAGGTGGAAATTGGTAAGCATAACACTGTCGTGAAAAACAGATGGACTAGAATATTTTTCTTATAAGAAGAGGATATAGAGAGTAGTAAATAATGATTATTTATTTTTTATTTATTTATTTATTAAAGGTCACTTATTATATATGTGATTGTGGTTGGAAGAGTTCCTAGCTAGATCCCTTTTATAAAAAGCTTTACTTTTTGAAGAATATTATATAAACAAGGTTATTAATTGGAAAAATATTACTTTAAAATCTTTCTATGAAAAGTATAAACACCCCAAATATTATTTTGTTTGGCATTTTATATAATAAATCAAACATGGAACTGAGCTTTCTCATTCCTAAAAATAACCAGTCAATCATGAAAAGTCACTAACTAGAGGAACAGAAGAGATGATATACTGAGATACTGTATTTAGTGCTGCCACTTGTTATATTTTCTCATAAAGCTTATTTTAAGGTGTGATTTTGCAAAAATCCATTATATACAGAAGAAGAGATAGGGCTAAAAGAAGACATGGAATAATTGAAGCTACTGGTTTTCTTCTACAACATGCAAAGGAAATGAATGTTTGTTAACATGGATGTTTTATGATTATTTGACATTAGGTATTTTTGGATTTTTTTAGAAGACTATGAAAGATGATATTTTATTTATTTTATTTTTTTGATGATATTTTAAATTAGGATCCTTAAAATGAATCTATCTCTGACATCCACTTGCATTTTTTCTTATTCTTTATGTATATTTGGCTCAGATGGCTACCAGTCATCTCTATTTGCAAAGTTTAGAATAAATAAAATTTTAACTTTTGTCTTAAGTTTATTTAGATTGAGTTTAATAAACTACAATGAACATAAATAGCTACCCATTTCAAGCTCATTTCCCTAGTAAATATTGATAAAATGATTTTTCTCTAAGATCTAATTTTAAAAGACCCCTTGTTCATGTACCAGTTACCTTGTTTTCTCCAATTGTAAGAACTTCCTTGGTGACTGAGACAGTAAAGAATCTGCCTTTACCCGGTTTGATCCCTGGGTCCAGAAGATCCCCTGGAGAAGACAATGGCTACCCAGTATCGTATGGGTTTCCCGGTAGAGGATGGTAGAGGATCTGACTGCAGTGCAAGAGCCACAGATTACATCCCTGGGTTGGGAAGATCCCCTGGAGGAGGGCATGGCAACCCACTTCAGTATTCTTGCCTGGAGAATCCCACAGAGGAGCCTGGCAGGCCACAGTCCACAGGGTCATAGAGTCGGACACAACTGAAGTGACTTAGCAAAGCAGCACCCACTTCAGTATTCCTGTTTGGAGAATTCCACTGATAGAAGACCCTGACAGGTCCATGGGGACGCCAAGAGTCAGACGCATCTGACCAATTAACACACACACACTTCTACTCTAGTGAAAAGTTTAACAAAAATAGCGTACAAAGTAGGCAATGGTGACCTGCTAGTTTGCTTTGAGCATAGCAAGTGCCAGGAGACTGTTATGACAGATAGTTTCCCCTTTTTCTTCTGTAATAGTAAAATTGATCTATTATTTGTCTTTGCAGTTTTTCTTCACATCTTTTGCTGCCAGGGATAGAAGTTACCTCAGTATCTTTAGGTTGTGGCAGAATGTACTATTAGACAAGGTAAGTGTTCACACCAGAGATTGGTGCTTATTATAATACCAACCTTCCAATGTGTGCCTAACCAGTGTTTGTGAGTTGAAAGCTCCTTTTTATTTTCTTGGGGTTAATTTTGACTAGACTATTCAAATCCAAGAAGAAACTTGAAGCAAAGCAAAATCCATAATTACAAGTTAAGATGTTAATTGAAATCCCCAGGGTAACCACTGAGAAAATAAGTTAAAAATAACTTACTATCCAAAATAAGGTAAACGAAACATAAAGGGAATGAAAATAGATAGTCAATAAAAGATACATTAGATTTATTATTTTTATTTATTTATTTATTTTTCCATTTATTTTTATTAGTTGGATAACAATCGTATACCAACAAATTAATTAACTTAGATGAAATGGGCAAATACCTAGAAAGTCACAAACTATTGAAACTGACTCAATCAGAAATAGAAAATCTGAATAGACCTATAACCAGGAAAGAGATTGAATTAGTAATCAAAAATCTACCGGCAGAGAAAAACTCAGGCCCAGATGGCTTCATTGATTAATCTGTGAAATGTTACAGTAGAATTAACACCAATCTGTCACAAAATGTTCCAAAAAGGAGTTCCCAATTTACTCTATGAAGGCAGTATTATTACCATGATACCAAAACCAGACAAAGAACATCACAAGAAAACTACAGACCAATATTTATGTTCATTGTGTCTATGAATGTGGAAACAAAAATCCTCAAGAAAATATTAGCAAGCCAAAATCAGCAACATATAAAAAGATTATATACCATGATTTATTCAAGGTTGTTCAACACATGAAAATCAATCAATGTAATAAACTATTAGTAGAATAGAGGACAAAAAACATGATCATGTCAATCAGTACATAAAAATTTTTTGACAAAATACAACATCCTTTCATGATTAAAAAACAAAACAAGCTAGGGCTAGCAAGGAATTTCATCAGTTGGATAAAGTTCATAGCCACATATTTACTGGTCAGAGACTAGTCGTTCCCCTTTAAGGTAAGGAATAAGACAAGGATGTCCTTTCTTGCCACTTCTATCCAATATTGTATTGAAGGTTCTAGCCAGGAAAATTAGACAAGGAAAAAAAGTAAAAGACATCTACTATAAAAATGAAGAAATAAAACTATCTCCATTGACAGATGACATGTTTTTCTATAAGTAAAATCCCAAGAAAACCAATGAAAATGTGCTAGAACCAATAAATAAATTCAGCAATTGTTGGAAGAAATTAAAGGCAACTTAAGCAACAGAAAAGAATCTCATGCTTACGGATTAGATAACTTAATATTGCTAGGATGACAATACTCCACAAATTAAGCTGCAGATTTAATACAATCCCTATCAGAATCCCAACTGGCATTTTTATAGAAATTGACAGGTGGATCCTAAAATTCACATGGACATGTAAGTTACCCAGAATAGCAAAACCAGTCTTGAAAAAGAAAAACAAAGTTAGATGAATTAATCTGTTATGTCTGCCATGACAAAATGCCATCAACTGAACAGCTTAAACAACAGAAATTTATTTTCTTAGAGTTTTGGAACCCAAAGGCCCCCATCTTCAAATACTATTACATTGGGAATTGGGGCTTCAACATATGTATTGTAGGTGGACACAATTCAGACTAGAGCAACCTCATTTAATTTTCTCCTTAAAATCTGTATATCCAAGTATAGCCATATTAGGGGTTAGAGTTTCAACATGTGAATTTGGAGGAATACAATTAGGTTCATAACACTAGAAGACTTATGCTTCTTGATTTCAATGTTTACTACAAACCAGTAATCAAGGCAGTATACCTACTGGCAAAAGTCTAGACATACAGATTAGTGGCATAGAATTGAGAATCTAGAAATCTTATCAGTCATAAATTGATTTTTGACAAGGGTGCCAAAACAATTCAGTGAGGAAAGAATACTGCTGGATTCACCAAATGGTTTGCTGTTGTAATAACTAGATATCAACATGCAAAAGAGTGAACTTTAACCCCTATGTCATACCATATACAAAAATTAACTCAAAATGGATCATAGGCTTAAATGCAGGTCTAAAAGTATAACATTATCAGAAGAAACTCTAGGTGTAAATAGTTATGACCTTTGGATTAGACAGTGGTTTCTTAGCTATGATATTGAAAGCTCAAGTGACAAGACTTCCCTGGTGGTCCAGTGGTGAAGACTCCATGCTTCCAATGCAGAGGGCATGGGTTTGATCCCTGGCCAGGGAGCTAAGATCCAAAATGCTGCACAGCCAAAAAGCTCAAGTGACAAAAGAAAAAAATTAGATAAATTCAATTTCATCAAAATTAAAAGCTTTTGTGTTTGATGGGGCCCATCATGAAAGGGAAAAGACAACTAACTCATAGATTGGGAGAAAACATGTGCAAATTATGTATCTGAGGAGGTATTTGTATCCAGAATACATGAAGAACTCTTACAACTCAACAGGAAAAAGACAAATAGCCAAGTGAAACATGGGCAAAGGTTTTGAGTAGTAATTTCTCCAAAGAACATATGCAAATGACCAAGTATATGCAAAGATGCTTAGGGTCATTAGCTATTAGAGAAATATACATCAAAACTACAATGAGTTATACCACTTCACACCCACTGGGATGGCTAAAATAAAAAGACAGACATTAACAAATGTTGAACATGTGGTTAAACTGGAGCCCTCATGCATTGCTGGTGGCATTGTAAAACTTTGAAATGTTTGAAAAACAGTTTGGCAGTTCCTCAAAATGTTGAATATAGAGCTACCATATGACTCAGCAATTCCATTTCTGGGTTTATGCAAGAAAATTAAAAGTATATGGTTCACACAGAAACTTGCAATCAAATATTCATAGCATTATTCATAGTGGCCAAAAAGGGAAGTATCAACAGATGAAAGTATGCATAAAAATATACAAAATGTATATTCATACAATGGAATATTATTTAGCAATAAAAATGAGTGAAGTATGGATACATGGTACAACATGGTAAACCTTGAAACATTATGCTATGTGAATGAAGCCAGTCCTAAATGAACACACATTATATGATTCTATTTTAATTAAATGTCCAGAACAGGCAAATTGATAGAAGTTGAAAATAAATCTGTTGCTAGGGAGAGGGAGGAATGTTGGGTGACTGCTAATGAATTTGGATATCTTTTCAGGTTGATGAAAATATTCTAAAGTTAGTAGTGATAGTTGTACAACTCAGGATATGCTAAATACTACTGATATGTATGATTTTAGGAAAGTGAATGTAATGGTATCTGAATTATAGCTCAGTAGAACTGTTATTTTTTATTTTTTTGACAGATATTTATTTCCCTATAGCCATTATTTTGCAATAACATTAAAAATATTTTTATTGGAGTATATTTGATTTACAATGTTGTGTTTTGGGTATACTCCAAAGTGGTTTAATTATACATATACATATCTTAGCTTCCCTGGTGACACAGATGGTAAAGAATCTGTCTGAAGTGTGGGAGACCTGGGTTCAGTCCCCGGGTTGGGAAGATCCCCTGGAGGAGGGCATGGCAACCTACTCCAGTCTTCCGGCCTGAAGAATCCCCATTGTCAGAGGTGCCTGGCGGGCTACAGTCCATGGGGTCACAAAGAGTTGGACATGACTGAGTGACTACAGTGCAGCACATGGATATATTTGTTCTTTTTCAACTTCTTTTCCATATAGGTTATTGCAGAGTATTGAGTAGTGTGCTATATATAGCATGTCTTTGTTGATTATCTATTTTATATATAGTTATGTATATCTGTTAATCGCAAATTTCTAATTTATCCCCCCTGCACCACCTTTCCCCTTAGTTAAACATGTTTGTTTTCTAAATCTGGTGTCTGTTTCTGTTTTGTAAGTTCATTTGTATCATTTCTCTCGATTCCACATATAAGTGATATCATGTGATATTTGTCTTTGACTTCACTTGGTGTGATAATCTTTAGGTCCATCCATGTTGCTGCAAATGTCATTATTTCATTCTTTTTTATGCCTGAGAAACATTCCATTATATGTATGTACCACATCTTCTTTATCCATTCATCTGGTGATGGACATTTAGGTTGCTTCCATATCTTAGCTATTGTAAATAGTACTGCAGTGAACATTGGGGTGCATGTATATTTTTGAATTATGGTTTTCTCTGGATATATGCCCAGGAGTGGAATTGCTGGATCATATGGTAGCTCTATTTTTAGTTTTTTTAAGGAACCTCCATACTGTATGCTTTTAGAAAAGTGAATTTTATGATATGTAAATTATTGCTCAGTAAAGCTGTTATTTAAAAAAAAAAAATATGGCTTGAAGGAAGAGTAGAGATTTCCAGATTATAAGAAAGGCTCCTTCTTTGAAGCAGTTTAAACACCACTGTCAGAAACCTTACCTCCTCTCCTTACCACCACCCAGCTAAGCCCCTCACTAGAGTGCTCTTAGGATTGAATAGCTTCTAAATTTTCAGGCAGCTGCTGAAGTCTGGGTATTTCAAACAGTGCTCTGCTTGAATGCTCTCTCTTTCCCTGAATGCTAGGGGACTCAAAATGACCTGGAAGTCAGGAGATGGAGAGAGAGAAGAGAAGTGGGTAGGGGTGGGGATGGGGGATCTTGTGAAGCCCAGCCCCTCCTCCCTCCTTAAGTGAAAAGACAAGGTGGGTAGGGCAGCCTCAAGGCCAACCTCCTCCTACCTCCTTAAGTCTGTATTGTCGTTTGGGTATCCAGTCTCCCCAGAGCCCCATACCCGTACTTCTACATTGGGAGATGCTTAAGGTGGTGGGCCCAAGGATGCTGGGTCCAGTAGTGCATGGCAACCACTTGGGGAGAGGCCAAGCAAATGCAGTAAGCCCTAAGCACCGGCAACTCCACTCTGCCCTTCCAGGTCATGATGCTGGAAGGCCCCACCTCACCTCCTGGGCTGCTCTTACTGGCAGGGGCTGAAAACTCCAGTATTGCCCTAGGGACATATTGTGATTAATCC